TCCGGTACGGGCGCGACACTGAGGGTTGCGATCCGTTGCCGGACATGAAAAAAAAAAAAATTTCAGTACTTTTATCTTGAACTTTAAATCTTAGCCATAATGAAAAATGAGTACTATTTGTAATTAGAAGTTAAGCATAAAAATAAATAGAAAAGAAAAACAATGCTGATAAATTCCAGCTCTGCACATTGCTTGCCTGTAGCTACCCAGGCTGAGGTTCATTTTCTCTTTGTTAAAAAATGAGGCCAGCATTAGAGAGGCATTTAATTCCAGCACCAAACAGAGACTCTCTCCACTTGACCTATTCAGAAGGATTAAAAAAGAATATTCTACTCACAGATTCAATGTAGATCACTTAAAATTATTCGAAACGGGCATGTGATTCCTACCTTTGGAGAAAAGGTGGCCAGAATTCAAACCCAGAGCAAGCTGATTCCAGACCTGCTCCAAACCCTAAGCCAGTAGTCCATCTTTTTCACCAGGCACGTGGAGTGAAAGAAAGTGAGCTGAGATGCCGGGTACCGTTCAAGCTTTATTAAAGAAAGAAAATCTGCTGGACTGTGCTCAAAGTAGCAGGCAGCCCAGGGCTTCCCTGAAAAGGGGACTGCACCAGGTGTGGGGGTGGTAGAGCTTATATTGGTATGTTGGGCCAAGAGCTGGCTGATACCAGCAAGGAGGGTCATTATGCTAATGCGGATCCGGGTGGAGCACTGTGTCCTTGCAGAAGCAAAAGGGGTTTCTGTTTAAGTCAGGAGGCTTCTTGTAAAGGGAAGGAGGAGGGGAGGAGGTGGGCAGTGCCATTTTGTACTTGGGTTTGTCTAAAGTGGCACTGCTTATGTTGCAGATCTTTTATTCCTGCCTTTTAAGTATAGGAAAAAGGGGAAAAGGGCAGAGGTCTCATTCTTATGAAGCTACTTCCTGCTGGAGATGGGTGAAGATATGGAAAAAATAAAAGATTTAGGTGGCGGGGTATTGGTTTCGTGTGGGGAGGCTGTATTCCTGCAGGGAAGGGTCACTGAATCTGAGGGGCTGATATCCTCCTCGCAGGTACAATTCGGCGACCTTTTGGTTGGTGAAAGCCTGTATACGTTCCTCCAAGAAATTAGAGAAACACCAAAGAGACTGGCCCAAAAGTATGATGAGGCACAGTAGGGGCATAAGCCAGGGTGTCCAGGGGTTCAGTGAAATGGCTTAAGTTGTTTTGAATCATCCCGAACTCATTTATGTAATAACAGCATTCCTCCCCCAAGAAGAGGAGGTGCCTCCCTTGTCAGCTGTAAAGAAGTCAAGGGCCTGACGGTTGTGTAAAGCGACTGTCGCAAGTGAGGTGACCTGTCACTGGAGGGAGGAGATGCTATCTATGCTTAGTTCTTCTGAGAGTTTTTGATAGAATTGAGAGGCAGTAGCAGGGCCCACTATGCCAGTCCCAGTTGCAGGAAGGATCCCTGCCCCAAGTAAAAAGGTACAATTAGTGCCCTACGGAGCAGGGGGCCGAAGTTAGTCCCAGTCCTGTCTCCATCTCTCCATCTGTTTGGAGGGTGATATCAGGGACGAGCCAATAGAATATGCAAGAAATCGTATTGGGGGGGCAGGCAAGAGGATAGTGTAGTTTTACAAAGGGAATATATTCCGGTTTTAGGGCGTGGATGAGGAGGGGGTAAGTGAGTGGTAGCGTTTAGTGTTAGTGAGGCAGAGTGTGGGCAGGCCCCGCACAACGCTGACTGTCCCACTGAGGTGAGATTAGAGGAAAGTGAAGAGACGTGTGTGGAAACATTGCGGGCTACATCAACAGGGAGGGGGCGGCCACAAAAAGTTTCTCGCAAAGTGGGAGACAGATGAGTCACTCGGGGACCAGTGTGATTCGCTGAGGACTGCATTGTCCCTGTGGACCTGGAGCCTCCATGTTCCAGGTAAAGGGGAGCACTGAGATAGGA